CAATTTTGAAAATCAATAGCTTAAATAATAAATTATGTAAATGACTAATTGTGCAACCTTGGGGTTTAGAAATCTGGTGAAGTACTATGTTGGCACCATCATGCAAATCTCATGCATTCTGCACAGATAGAATCACTGAGGCAACCAAATGTCTGACTTGTATACTCAACATAACTTTTTCCCATGCTTCACACTGTTGTAATCTTTACTAAATGGTTTAAAACATCACAGTAAGATAGCCAGGTGAGACAAATATTATTAGCATATTGTTTATCAATATATTTATTTGTTTAGATATGTATATGTTTATATAAGCATATTAGTCTATATATTTAAATAAACATTTAACATGTTTATATAATACATATTATATAAATATTAGTTTATATGTTCATTATTAGTATATATTAATATTACTAAATATTTCTTTAGATGCCTATTATTGAAGACTAAGGGAAGAGAAAATTATGTTACTGGGGAAATATAGAAATAATTATTTATATATTTTTAAAGTCTTTCATATTATGTTCTTAACATGAAAATGTTCAAATTACATTTGTGTTTTACATGAATGGTGATCTCTTTTCCTGCATTTTACCTTCTCAGATTCTAGACATAACCCTGATCCTAATACTTTTATTTTCATGCTTTTGGAATCTAAAGTTCTTATTATGAGAAAAACCAACAATCAGAAATTGTACCAGTTTATCCTGAAAAGGCCAGAAGTAATACAAAGTGAAGGGAGAACTTTGGAAACTATATGGAAAAAAAAAACATACGTATTTCAGACATGGGTCAAAAGGGAAGGACTTTAAAAATCAGAGCTTAAAACCCATTAGATAGAGTCAAGGGCCACACTGAATCAGTGCCAGGAAGCAGAATTTAAAAAATCTTACCAAGCAATTGTAGTCAGTGCCCGACTACATTTCCGGACAACAATGTGTTACAGTTGTGTGTGCAGGTTTCCCTCTTTCCCCCCCTGAACAGAAGTGACTAGAGGGACCATCTGCTCTCTACTCCACCATTAAGGGGTGGGTGCATGTATGCAGATCGTTTGTCACTTCAGGTTTCATGGGTCTTCAGATAAGAAGAACCTGTATCTAAGGCAGTGCATTGTGTGAGTCTCATTCACCCTTCACACTTGACTCTGCTTTAAATGACATCATTCTGAGTCTCCGGCTGTAATGGAGTGAGTCTTTGAGGGGTTTGGAGAGGGCTGAGTATGTTTTACCTGTGAGAAGAATGTGAATAATGTGCGGCTGAAGGACAGAAGAACATACTTTTGCAATTGTAAAATATGTCTCCCATTCACTGCCGTCAAGTCAAGTCCAACTCATAAAGGTGCTGTAGGACAGGATATAAAATGCTGTAGGACAGGATATAAAATCCTGTAGGACAGGATATAAAATGCCCTGTGGGTTTCTGAAACTGTAACTCTTTATGGAAGTAGAAAGCTTTGTCTTTCTCATAGGGAAGGACTAGTGGTTTTGAACTGTTGACTTGGTGGTTAGCAGGACTATGCATAACCACTATGCCACCAGGGCTCCTAAGACATCTCATTAAAAAAAAACCCAAAGAGAATAAGAAAATAAATATTTGGTAGTTCAAGCTCAACAGCCACTCTCAAGGAAAATGATAAGGCTGTCTTCTCCCATATGCATGTACCCTATATAGAACCCTATATAGGGTCAGTGAGTTAGAATCAACTTGATGGCAGAGGGTGTAGTTTTTCATTTCATATAGGTATAGTTTCGTGAAATTTTGAGCCTTTCGATGATTCTGAAGAGTAGAGGGAGATGTAGAGCTTCTCCCCACTTCTTCAGCTATCATCTTGGTCCAAACCATAATCAGACCTGAAAACGTTCTCTGACAACCTGACCAGATTTCTTATTTCTATTCCCTGCTGCGCTTTACCCTATAGCAATTCGTTGTCCACGATAGTAAAGAGAACTACCCACAAACTCAGCACAGGAAATTATGCAGAAAAGAAAACTTGCAGCAGCATAAATTCACACATTAAAAGAAAAGCATACACAGAAAGATGATAGTAATATATTCATATCTACCAAAAATTAGAGTATAAATGCATTAAATATGGCAGTCAAGATAGAAGCATTAATATGATAACTGCAAGACATACCTTAAACATAGATAAAATGGACTAAAAATCAAAGATCTATAAAAAATATATACCAAGCAAATGGCAATTTAAAAAAAGAGCAGGACTGACAGTATTAATTATTCATCAAATAGATTTTTAGGGCAAAAAACAGCCTAAGAGACAAGGAAGGGTCATTGAACAAGTGGACATGGTTCAAATATCTATGCACCCAATTAAAATATTCAAAATACAAAAGTCAAACCCTAACAATTGAAGTGAGAAATAAATAACTATACAAAAATAGTAGGAAAAGTCAACACATGGCATTTGATGAAGGATGGAACCAGTAAAAAACTCAGCAAAGACACAAGAACTAAACAAAACGATCTATCGATTTGACCTTATGGACAAATGCAGATCGCTACACCCAACAACAGCTCAATATAAATTCTTTACCAACACAAATGGAACATTCTCCAGAATAGACCATATTTTAGGCCACAAATACAGCTTCCATAAATTTTGCAACATCATGATGCACTGAGTATGTGCATCTTCTCTGATAACAATGCTATAACTTTAGAAATCGGCAATAGGAAGACAGAGGAGGCAAATAAATGGAAACCAGTTACTTGTTTTTAAAAGAAAGAAACAGGGAAAAAGAATTAAGAGCTCTCCATAGTCCCTTGTTGAAAATTCTTCGATGCTTTCTCCTTGAGCCCAGGATAAATAGAAATGCCTTCTTGTGGATTTTGAGGGCCCTGCTCTGCCCTACCTCATGCTTCTCCTCCTCACGTGTATGCCCCCCTCAGGCCCTCTGCTCTGCACTGCATCGTTCAACTCGAGGCCTGGGCTGGCTCCTAGCCCGGTCACTCCAACTACACACGCTCTCCTCTCCCCCAGAATGCTTCTCCCTGTCCAGAGGCTAGAGAGCTTCCACTCAATCCTAAAGACCTGGCTGAAACTTCACGTTTTCAAGAGTTTATTTCCTTTCCAACTGTCCAGGCTCAGAGTCAGACCGATCTCTCCACAAGATCTAGTGC